TTTTCATTGCAAAAAGTCACGATCAAATCAACACAATTTTCACCCGTCTTCTCTTCGATACCCACGAATCGAAGGTTATATTTTCTCGAATACTGTTCGTTGTCGTTTGCTTTCAGTAAAGCAGACTCCGAAGCATTTTGAACCAACAATAGCTTTGATTCAAAGTCACGTACAATTTCCTCCATAGTATTTAATCGCTGAGCTAGCGAATCCACTTCGACCAATTTATCATTTAAATTCCCGACAGCTTTCGACACCGCAGTATCGACAACATCCTTTATCATTTGTTGAAAAGATTCTTCCTTTAAAACATCAGCAACCACTTTCTTCATGGTGGCAATAAAACCAGGAGATTCAAAATACTTTTGAAGCTCGTCTCCTAGCCCAGATACGCTCGACTGATTTGCCCTCGTTGTACGGGACATTTTACAGCTTAATCGATATATAACTCAAGAGCAATAACTTCAAATGATCAAGCAAGTGAGAATAATATATAAAAAAGATTTTAAGGAGTAGACTCGCCCAAAGCTTTAATTTCTGACGAGCTCAGAGACACATGACTGCCTAGCTCTATATTATATGGGGAAATAAATAATATTACGTAACTCTTGTTATTCTACAACCGTAAAGTATTATATTAACCAGATAGATAGATAGTTAGATAGATAGTTTAATAAAACATTTACATTGCAGCCAAAGGCTGAATTTCGTAAAGTTTACAAAATACGAATTATTATTTAATTACTATTATAATTATTAAGTTAAAATTATGCAAATATTTAAAAATTTTACTAGGATGATAATAAAAAAGATACCACTAACGTTACGAAGACATCATCGATGCCATCGCAAATATAAAAGAGTTTTTAGTACGATTAGTATTAAAATGAGAAATGTCAAATTCATGACCATTTCTGAGATCGTGGTGCCAGTTATGTTTCTGTGGGAGGAGGTCATAAAGTTTGTGGTTTGATCCTTTGTAACATTAACAAACAAGTTTTTGCATAAGAAATTATGGTGTTCTACTATTGGTTTGATGTTCAAAATTTCTCCCGTTGCAGAGTAGTCCATTCCTGGATTTATTATTGAAATAGCCCTTTTTTCCAGTCGAATCAATTCGTTCTTTAAGTATTGTGGAAGGGAGTGATAAAAGGCTGGTACTGCCTATTAGCCTTTTTACTGTTGTAACAGTTCCGCGGGCTACTACGATATGTGATTAAGGCTATAAACCACGCTTGAAAAGCTATGCAATTAATAAGCATGCCTTATAGTGTTTGTCTTTGAAACTCTGCACTATCCTTGGATCCCTAGTTAAAATACATTCTAATTGGGAAATTTTGCGTATTGTTGTTCAAAATTTACTAAACTTATCGAAATATTTTTATAGAACTTTTCATTATTGTACACCTTACAATCCTAAACACTCATTACATAGACTGTTTCCATGACGACGCTACAAATCCGATGACGTTTCAATTACATCACTGATGACATCATACTATTGATAAATTTCTCATTTTGAGGAGGAAATCAATTATTTTTCAAGAAACATATTATTTACTGTAACACCAGTTATCAATCAAAGATATAGTTTCGACAACAAAAACTCCTGAGCTATATATTGAGCTGCACTGCTTGTTCATTTATTGGACATCTATTTTCTACATACTATCTCATTTAAAGAAAGCCATACAGGTTGAATGCATTGACACTTCTAATCCATGGTGTACTTTAAGTTGATAATGTATACTATAAGAATGAAAAATAATAGATTAGTCATCAGTTGAACTAATTAAAATTTCCCATTCACCCTGAACAGTTCAGTTTACAGTCAGGTTTTCAGCACATTATTAATTACCTGTTACTAGCTCTCAATTTGTTTGCATCATAGCCAATTAAAGTCTAAAATGAAAAAGAACACAAATTATGATATGCACTATTTAAATTTCTACAGCAATTACCATAATTTATTCTTTCATTTCATGATTTTCAGCATACTTACTCTTAAAAATCAAGACCCAAAATTAGAAAAGAAAGCATAATTGATTATCCGTAAATTATCAGTTTAATAGTGTATCATTTGTTGGCTCAGGCCTGAGCTGAAGATTGCCAGATGAAATTCTATTAATAAAATAGGATTTCAAGAGGCATTCATCCCTTCCACCCTCTTTCCTCAGCTCAGCCTCCTCAAACACTGCCTCTCAATCTGAATACCAGCCATGCAGTTGTGCATGTTGTACTGGCGCAAGACTGCTGTATCATATTGCCACCATTTCCAAGTTAGGTTTTCCACTATGACGCCAGTACTCTTTACATTTGCAGCACATTGTGCAGGTTGGAACTATTTAGCAGCAACGGCGCAAGAGTGGTGTTCCGCAGTCATTGCCCTGGTTGATCTTCTACATGACGCCACCACTCTTTACATTTGCAGCCAGTTGCGCCTTCCAACAATCATTAGTATTTTGCATGTACAGTTAGGTACAACGTTTCCTCACAACTAGGGAATATTCTGAGGACAGTTCAAAGTATTCGCAAGTCGTTATTCAAGTAGTCTTCAAATAACTTGAAGATGCAAACTTCACTTTCAGTACTTGCCTCATCCTCAGTGCCATCTAATTCTGGTTGGAGTCAAATTCAATGACAAACTCAGGGTTAGTGTCATCACTACCTTCTACAATCTGTAGTACTCTGCCATTTTCCCACCAGCTGTGATTTTGAGCTTCATCTTCAAATCTTTGGGATATCCTTTTACCCAAGAAGTCCTCTTCAGATACTGGTATTAGTTTGACATTACCATCTTTAAAATCATGGTATGAAAAGATGTAGAGAGAGTCATAGCCGTCATATCTGATGTAGAGGTCAGGGTCCTTGTTATTGGTCTCACTTATATTAATGACAACCAGCTTCATCATTCTCGAAACAATGATGAGAGACCTGTTTTCCAACAAGATGTACTGCTACAACTATAGTTGGAACATTTTCATTTTATTGGCCATCCTTCTTTCGCTTTGCAGATCTTTTATCATTGTTAGTTGGACTGTCTCCTTTCCTCCAGCTTTTTTCACTTCTTTGCTGGCTCGTTGTTTGTATAGTTCTTTTTGCTCCAACATTTTCATTATGTGAGATGAGGGTTTTCAAGCTCGGTCACCTTTTTGCTGTCTTCAATGGATTGATGAATTATTTAAAATTACTGACCAGCACTTGACTGCTAAATGCTTTACCTTCAGACGGCATTTGAAATACTTTTTTATCTTTATGCTTTGCCCCGAGCACTATCTTTCGAACTGGATCTGGGTTTTGATGGCAATTTTCTTGTCTTTTTCCTTGCTTATTTTGGCAATCTGCTCATCAACCTCTGTGTCTGTTTTCCACATTCCACCAACTTCTTCCACTTTCTGAACTAAATCTTCCTTTAGCATTCTTAACCTGGTTTTTTTTCTTTCTTTTTCTTGTTTTCCTTATTTTCCTTTCTCAAGCTTTTCTTCTCTCTTTTTTCTAATTATTGCCTTTTGCTCAATGAATTGCTGTCGCTTGCTTGCCTTTGAATTCCGCGCCATTTCCATAACTGTGTTCTCTTCTCTGGCGTAAGTGAATCTCTCCAACCTTTGGTATCATTCTTTGTGAACATCAAAATGCCTTCGAAGACCAAGGTTGTCACATTTGGCTTTTGTGCAAGAAGACAATCAGCATTCCGAAATCTCGTTCTGAGCAACATTTGTCTTAGGAGCATTCTTGCATTCATCTTACATTTCGACATCGGGATTGTCGTATTTACCACCCTCCAGGTGATCAGTCAACATTCGCTTTGTTACAACAACAAATTATCCAAATATCAGCTCGAGGACTTGCTTTGTCATTGGATCCCAATCTGGGTCTTCTTTGATGAGCTTCTCATCGCACAAATCTTTCTTCAGTTTGACATCATCAAACACCACAGCTTGACATGTGAGTACAGGAGTGGAGTCTTGTGCCCATTCTTCAAAGCACTCCAACAGTCGCTGGTATCGAGCACTCGTATCCATGAAACTTACATCTTCCTTTTCAAGGACTCTCCACAATGGACCTGTAATAAATTTGTTAATCCCAGAGCCCTGCACCCTGCTAAAAAGGAAGAAACTTCTAAGTCATAATAAACTGCCTTCAGCAGTTTATTTTCATCCTTCATCCAAGAATGATCTAAGGTGTTCATGCAAATAAAATACACCACCCCCATTATGAAATGTGATATTAAATCTATTTCAAGTGGTGACAAGTGGTCAGCACTCGTCCAGACCGCTCGCATCCTTTGGCCTGAACAGCTTTGCAAACTGTTCGAAGTAAACAGAGGGTGCCACTTTCTCCTCCTCCTTTACTATACCCACATTGGCTCAAGCTTCCAACCTTTTTTCATCATACAGGAGCTTGTCCCACACTCTTAAAGCCTCCTCTGCTTGGTCAGCAAGTCCAACAATGTCATGTAGGCCACAGAACAGATCATTCATTCTCGAGACCTTGGACTTCTCATCATCATCCATAATATCCCACTCTTCCACAACTTCAGGCAGGATGGATTGTCGGTATGTCTGGAGAATCTCGTTGAATTTCTGTTGGACAATGCAGCGGTCCGACATCAAATTCTTTATGGACTTCATCACCTTTTTATCTGCATTTTCATGCTCAACTGAGCTGGTAATGTCACCTAAAACTTCTTTCAATAAATTTAGTTGAGATTCAGCATCACTGCACGCCATGTCCCGCAGCCCAGCTACCATGACATTGCCATCATCTAAAGTCACATCAAATGTGGCATAGTGGTAACCATGCTTAGAAGTACCATCACTATGCTTAGAAGTACCATCACTATGCAGGGAGCGGCTTGTGCAGCCGACTGCACAGCGCCGCATGAAATGAAAAATATCGAGCCTAATCAACAGGTTTGGCCAGGCATGGAACAGCAATTGATACTTCGATTCACCTTCCTGACTACTGCAGCAGTCTCGGTCGGTGTAAAGAAGTACCGGTGGCTGAACACCTGCCTTTTCAAACCTGCTCATTAACCCATCTGCCAATGGCTGTAATGATGCTATGCTCTCTGAAGTTGTGACAATCGAGTTTAGCACCTGCCCCCTCTCATTGCCAACATTGGTCACCCAGCTAGCCGTGTTGATATCTATTCCCTGTAGCTTCCTTGTCATTTTCTTAGTGGAATCAATTTTTAGGACACTTCCTAGCACAGAAGTAGTGACCGCCTTCAGTGATTCCAGCCTGTTGTAAACATCTCTGACATAACATGCAAGAAACCACTTGGCCGTTGGTAGATCCTTCAGTTCCTTCGCTCTTTCGTACTCCACAGGAGGCTGTTGGAACTGCTGTGAAGATGTGCGGTGCCGTTTGCAGTCACTCAGATAGCTCACATATCTTCGCATCCATTGCTCACTGTGAAGCTCGCGGATGCTATTCTGCAAAGCCCCAGGGCTATTTCCCAGAGTCCTCGATCTTAGCAGTGATGTCACGGCTTGGTCACATGCGTACTTGTATGTGAGAACAACAGGAAATTTTAACCGTATCCCATCTGGCAAGCGTTCCAAGATCCTGTTGTCCCATGCAATAAATGTGCCGCCACAAGCCTTACAAGAATGGTATTCTGCTGCCAAATAATAGTATTCCTTTATATCCAGGACTAACCTCACTCGAGTGTATAGGCCCTTCGACTGCAGGGTCCTCTCAGGAATGTTGCATGTGGGGCATGGTAGTACAACACCCCACATCCTTTTTGGCATCCACAGGAACAACCGTCTGAGGAAGTAATTAGTAGGGTTGGGAACACCACTGGCATTAGGGGCTGGACTTGGAGGAGGATACCACCAGTTATTAAGCTTGGAGACCAAATTCCC